AACCCAGACTAGACCCACGGTCCAATTGAGCTGGCCTGCAAACCAAACACTTGCGGCCCAACCCAGTAAGCCGAGGCCCAACGTTTAGCCTTGGCCCAGTAGCCTTCCACAGCCCGCGACCCGAACCACAACCCGAACCGGACTGCGACCCGCGCTTCGACCCGACACTACCGCCCGACGTGGCTTTCTCTGCTGCTGCCACGTGTCACACAGCGGCGCGGCAGTCCCTCAGCTCGGCTCGGCGCAAACGGCTCGGGCTCCCTCCGGTGACGCTCCGGCGGCTCCAGCGGCTGTTCGGCTCGGCTCACCTATTTTTAGCCCGATTTTCACTGTTTCGACCCTCCCGACGACGTAGGCTCCCATGTACGGTTGACGGTGGCATCGTGATCAGAGACTGTGGCGCGTGTATAGGATAGTTGCATATTTAATTTCTAGTCTTGGTTAGGATAGGGCGTTTGCATTTCATTCATTTATATTAATTAATTTGTAATCGTTTTATTTTATCTTTTTGAACTTCAGCACGATGTTTGAAACACATAAGTCCGGCAGTGTTTTCCAATGTTTTAATGTATTCTGAAGTTTTGAATTTTTTTCCGCTAATAAAGATGACCATGCTTAGGTTTTTATTCTGCATTAGAGATGAGCATGAGACGTTAGTGGCGACTCTAGATATGTGGAAATTTAGGGTCGTTACAACCTGACTTCTGATGGTCCTCCTTTCTCTGATCCTACTCTCTACAGATCTCTTGTTGGCGCCCTTCAGTACTTGACTATTACGCGTCCAGATATTGCCTATGCTGTCAATTCTGTCAGTCAATTCTTGCATGGCCCTACTGCAGATCACTTTCTTGCTGTCAAACGTATTCTTCGCTATGTCAAAGGAACACTCCACTTTGGTCTTACCTTTCGTCCATCCACTGTTCCTAGTATGCTAGTCGCTTATTCGGATGCTGACTGGGCTGATTGTCCCGATACTCGTCGTTCTACATCCGGCTATTCTATTTATCTTGGTAACAATCTCGTTTCTTGGAGTGCCAAAAAGCAACCTACTGTCTCACGCTTCAGCTGTGAATCTGAGTATCGTGCTCTTGCCACAACTGCTGCTGAACTTCTTTGGGTTACACATCTTTTGCATGACCTCAAGGTCCCTATTTCACAGCAGCCCTTACTTTTATGTGATGACAAAAGTGCTATTTTTTTTAGCTCTAATCCCGTTTCTCACAAGCGGGTCAAACATGTTGAACTAGATTATCATTTCCTTTGAGAACTTGTTATCGCTGGCAAACTTCGCACACAATATGTACCCTCTCATCTCCAAGTTGCTGACATCTTGACAAAGAGTATTTCTCAACCTCTCTATGAATTTTTCAGATCCAAACTTCACGTTCGTTCAAATCCGACGCTCAGCTTGCGGGGGGGTGTTAAGGATAGTTGACCATTCATTATAAGGCAAATATCTATATTTGCCTTACATTACGGGTTACCATATTTGCCCTTTTATTAAAGGCAAATATATTGTATTCATTTATTATTCTTTCCTTTTATTGCTATTTCCATATTATTTATAATTTACCATATTTCTGTATTCGGTAAATGATTATAAATAAGAGCACTCTCACCCCCATTTAGGTGTGGTGGATTCAGCAAACATCCACATTTACCATATCCTTAACGTTCTTATACCTATCACAGACATATCATTACGTGACGTACCTTGGTCATATCGTCACAAGAATGTACCCTAACGCTATCGTTCTATCAATCTATCACAAACCTATCCCTTTCTACCCATAACCTGACCGTATTCTTTCATCAATCTCTCCTATCCATAGCACTCCGGTATGTAACCTAACTCTAACATTTCATGAACGTATCTTACTCCTATCGTTACATTTCGTTTTGTGCATCCTTCTCGTACCCTATCTCAAACATCTCCTAGAGCACATCGTACCATAATTATTATCATACAATCCACATATAAGAAGCATATCGATCTTCAGACAATTCACACATATCAATATATATGACACGTGCAGAACCACAGGGCACGTGTCAACATCAAATATAACCTTGCCGATAGTAAGGTCACTTACCTGGTTAGCTTAAATCGTTGTCACGAATATATCCTTAATGAAAGTTCGATTCCGTCGTTATCCTTGATGAAAGTCCATTGAACTCCAAGTCAACCTATGTGAGCCCATGACATCAGTTTCAAGTTTGAACCCTATAAAATTATTTCTCTAATTTATATTGACCCATGTGTTATACTTCATGCGAACGTTAGAGTCTTGAACGTTAGAGTCTTTGCTTGAGTTAGGTGTTGAAATATTTATATATGTTTGTTATAGTATTATTTTCATACAAACCATTTAATACTCATTAAAATTTCTCAGATATTCTATTTTCTCTGATGTTGTTTAATACCCTTTTAACATTTTCCAGATAATTTTCAATTATATCCACCGTCTTCCCTCTCTGTCTCTTACTATGTTTTCTTTCTTTTAATTATCTCTCTGTTTGAGAATGATTTTTAATATCATTAAATAAAATAAAAGAAAAACTACTGACCTCTTCCAATGCAATATCTCTTTTTACCAAAATATCTCTTTCTACCCAAACAAAACTTAATCTGAACCCTTTTTGTGCTTTTTTTGGGAGGAGAGAAGAAATTCTGATTACTTAAATCTGTTTAATCTTTTCTTTTATTTTTGTTTGTTACTTTTTCAATTAGGTTGGCAATTACTTCTGGACAATTTAATCGATTCTTTTTTTTCTGCTATTGATCATGACGTATCTTTTTAATTAAATTGCTAAATAAAACTAAATAATTGGATAAAAGAAAAGGAGATCTGAGATATAACTTACCGAGAAATCTCAAATTTCTCTCCCTTCTCCCATGTAAATCTTGATCATCTCTGTCAACCATCTCCTATAAATTTGATGTGAGGCATGTCTGTTTTCTCAAATATGAGATTTTTCATTTCTGTTTCATTTTTCAGGATTGTGAGGTGTGTTGAGGAGAGATTATTGGGGAAGTGACTTACGGAGACAAAGGAGGGAATAATGGTTTTTTTTATTTACTTATTTATTAATTTATTATTATTTTTTTTTTATACATAATAATAATTTTTATTTATTTATTTATTTATTTTTGGGCTGTTACAAATATATTTAAAATTTGAATGAGATTCAATATATATTAAGATATCTCGATCATATCTAAATATAGACATTATATCCTATTATATTAAATATGCAAATATGAAAATATATTATTTGGCAAAGGTCTACAAAAGTCCCAATAAATAGGACCTTGCCAAAGTCATACAAATTTCTCCCACTTTCTATGGAGTATGAAATTACATATCTAGAGAATTCTCGAAACTATTCTTCTCCAATCCCTTTAGAATTTTTTGATATGAACCAAGAGACATCAATCCTACCATATACTTTAATGAAGATGTGGAGTAAATATTTTTGAAATTATCAAAACATATTTCAATTCACGCCACGTGAAGAAAATGAAGTTTCATGTTATAAATTTTGGGTAGATTACAATTTAGAGTAATTCAGAGTTATTATATTTTATTAATGTATTTTAAGACTTTTTATTTACTTTAGGTTACATAATGGTTAATTATAGTCATTAAGTATGAATGTTACAACTCTTGAAATGCCAATAGTTTTATTTTGAGGCTATATAAAGTATGTATGTTGTATTTGTAGGTAGACTTGGAATATATAGTAAAATGAGCTTTTTGCTTTTCTTTGGCCAATAGCTAAGTATTCTTGCAATTCTATGTAGTTTAGGTTGAATGTAGAATCATTCAAGCTCGACATGATCAATCTTGCTTGTGGGAGTGATTCGAATCTCAATCAAGTGTTCTTGCCTTGAGATATTTGATCAACAAGAATCATTCAAGCTAGACATGATCGATCTTGCTTGTGGAGTGATTCGAATCTCGGACAAGTGTTCTTGCCTTGAGATATTCGATCAACAAGGTAATCCGAATCTTATTCCCCTTGTATTGATTCCTTATCTTATCATTTTCTTTCAAGAAGCTCACACAAGCCTTGACCTTGTGTTCGTGTCATAGCAAGGAAGACCTCGTGGAATGTTGAAGAACTTTTACATGGTTGGTGTAATAACAATAATAATAATAAATAAACAAATAAAAATAATTATAAAAAAATATATATGTCAAAATACTAAAAATAATAATAATTCATAATTAAATAACTAAAAAGGATTATTTAAAAATAAAAATAAAATTTACTCACCTCTCTCAACTAACCTCTTCCACCCCATCCTCTCTCCTCAACTCCACCATATCACAGTTCATAAAAAAAAAACAGACAAAAAATGTCAGATTTGGGAAAAGGTAAAATGGTGTTTCATATGATGCATATCTACTCTACGGTAAAATCGATCTTGCCTTGATATTGCTTGTGGAGAGATTTTGGTATGTTATTACGGTAAAATCGATTTTCTTTTTCCTTTATATAGTTATTGTTATAAGAAATCAATTTAGGATCAAATAATCTTGTCAAATTTTTTTATGGGAATAAAAATTACCGAAGATAAACCATAGAAAGAGAATTGAATTTTGAAATATCAGAGCTTAAGAAAGGAGACAATACTCCAACCGAAAATAACTCCATCAAATTCTTTCTTTCCTATAAGAGTATCTATATTTTTAATAGAAAATGAGATGTTTAATGGTAATACCCGAAGGAAGGAAGAGAAATAGAAATAGAAAAATAAAAAAAAAAAGAGGAAAAGTCCAGATGGGCAAATAGCCTCCAACCACCTAAGGGGTCCAAATGAAACCCCAGTGTCCTGCAAAAGAGAAATAGTGAGAGAAATGGGTAGAGAGAACCTAGAGAGAGGAGAAAGAATGAACCACTGGAAGACTCACCGAAAACTACCGTCGGATATTCCGGTGAAGATCATGATACAAGTTGGTGAAGATCATGATGCAAGGAACCTTTCTTGGAAGGGTAAAGATCATGATGCAAGGAGCCTTTGTTGGAAGGGAAAAGAGAATGTGGGTGGCCGGAGTCCCATTTTTCATCAAGAAATTGGAAAACCCTCAAGGTAAGGATCTTGAACGTTTTCTCAGATCTACGGTTTTCCTTTGTGAATCAAGATCTGAAATCTTGATATATTCATCTAGGAACAACTCTAGCATGATCTGTGAACAAGTTTGGCCGAGATCTCAACCCGAAGGCGGAGATCCGAGAGTCGTCCGAGAACGGTGAGTGAACTTCCGATGTTCTTAACTCGTCCGATATTCAAGCAAAAATTACAAAAAAAATATTAGGACATAGCCTGTAACACGATCTAGAACTTTGTAGAAGAAATCATATCGATCTGATCCACGGATCAAAAGATATGAAAATTGGAAAAGGGGACTGTGTTTCGGTTTTCAGAGGACAGAGAAGAAAGAAGAAAGAAAAAAAAAGAAAAAAAAAGAAGGGCGGCCGACGAGCGACGGTGAGCAGCGACAGGTGCCGGACACGCGTCGACCATCGGCTGGAGCAACGCAGCTCCAGCGAGGCGTCGACATGTGTCGCCTGCAAGCCGGGTCGAACCGCAAACGCGAGCCGAGCCGATCGGACCGGACGACCCGCGATTACTCGGAAGCGAGCGCGCGTGGCAGGCGCGCGTGCAGCCTGCGACTGGCGCCTACCCGTGCGCGTGACCACGCACTCCCAGCGCACTACTGGCGCGTGAGAGCGCGTGGAACGACCAATTTGGCCCGGTTGTTTTCTGTTTGCCCGATTTTTTGTCCCGATTCCAGTTCTAATACTGTTCTTACGTGAGTAGGGACCTAATTTAAAGAAATTAGTACTTTTGGACACCTCACGGGCAAAGAAACGCTAGCAAAAAGGGCACGCGTCAACCAGGTAAGTCACCACCCAGTATTTAGGAAGAAATACTTGTAGGGTTCGCTTGTATTGTATATATGCATGTTAGTAATTTTGCCTGAAATTAGCTCTCCATGAATGAGATTAATCAGATGGATTGTTATGATGTGTTGGGTTAATTATCTGAGTGTTGCTTGTATGCCTTAAGCTTCCGTTGTACGTATGCATGCGTTTAATTTATGTTGAAATTGTGTATTCCGTGTTCCGGGTGCTAGATGGATGAATTCGCCCCATTGAGCGCGAACTTCGTGTTTTTGGTGCTGGATGGAGGCCATCGCCCCCTTGAGCCGGCGTGCCTAGTTTGCATGAATATTAGGATGTTAGAAGACGGTTGCATGCACACTCCATTATTTTCTAGTGCCCATTTCTAAGATAAGTTTAGAGGGTTACCGTTAGGAGCGATATGTCGCTTTAGCCAAACTTAACTTTCCCCTAGGAACTTAGTTGATTACCATGGCAACAAGGTACCTCAGGAGTGTTCATAGATTGCTAGTGTGAGAACGGTATCTATAGCTTCGTGGGAGGACCAAGGGTCCCCGATCAGTCCTTACTGCTCTTAGCCATTTCGCATGAAAAATGTGTCCCCACGTCGTACATCCCATTAGCTGCATGGGAACGGGTTGGGTCGCGCCCCCCATAGAAGGACTATGTGGGCGTAGGGGTATTCAGCACACCCCTAGGCTAGGTACCATGTAGTCCTAGATAGCCATGTAGAGGTAGCACCTCATAGAGAAATACCAACCACATTAGCTTGGCATAAGGAACCTCTAGGTGACTAATGAAAGGACGATGAACCGGTGAAACCCAAGGGGCATGCCCCAAGAGACTAAGGTTAGAACCCGATGTCCTAGAACCGAATTAGGAAACCGTGGGAGTTCTGTTAAATTAAGATGCGAAGAGAGCCTACAAGTAGGTGGCTTATTGAGTATAATTTTTATACTCATCCCGTTCTCCTTTATTTTTCTCAGGTGTTCGCTGGCTGCTGGTCGAAGTAGAGGAGCGTTTGAGAGCTGTACAGTCACAGAGGGGGTCGTTTCGGGCGTCAGTCCCTTTTCGGTCTTCTAGAGTCTTTTGTATCTCATTTTATATTTGCAATTTCTTTTGTAATAATTAACAAACAAAATTTCTCTCTTTTGTTTTAATTCAATAGTATTTTTATCTTTTTACTTTGCTTTTCTTTTATTTTATTTTTCTTTTGTTTGTTTTCGATTTCGTCTTTTTAGTCACGATTCGGTTTTTTGAAGCCTCGAAAATCGGGTCGTGACAGATTGGTATCAGAGCCAAACACCGGACGATGTGCCAGCCTTCTCACTATTCCCCGAAGGGGGGTAAACACGAGGCGGTATGCCAGTAAGGACGCTGGGCCCCAAAAGGGGGTGGATTTAGGGGCGGTCCCACATCGATTGAAGGAAGAAAAGAGTGCCAGCGAGGACGCTGGGCCCTGAAGGGGGGTGGATTGTGATGTCCCACATTGGTTGGGAAGGAGAACAAACCACCCTTTATAAGGGTGTGAAAACCTTCCCCTAGTAGACACGTTTTAAAGCCTTGAGGGGAAGCCCAAAAGGGAAAGTCCAAAGAGAACAATATCTGCTAACGGTGGATCTGGGTCGTTACATTAATATATTTATATATATAATATTCAAGGACCCTACTCATACAAAGTTTCTAATGCTAGCATGAAGTCTAACACATGGACTATTGTAAAATGAACTTAATTTATAACTGATGTCATAGATTCACATAGGTTGACTTTGAAAAAATGAAAAAAATCAAACTTTCATCAAGTATAAATTGGTGACACTCATACAAAGTTTCTAATGCTAGCATGAAGTATAACACATGGACTATTGTAAAATGAACTTAATTTATAACTGATGTCATAGATTCACATAGGTTGACTTTGAAAAAATGAAAAAAATCAAACTTTCATCAAGTATAAATTGGTGACACTCATACAAAGTTTCTAATGCTAGCATGAAGTCTAACACATGGACTATTGTAAAATGAACTTAATTTATAACTGATGTCATAGATTCACATAGGTTGACTTTGAAAAAATGAAAAAAATCAAACTTTCATCAAGTATAAATTGGTGACACTCATACAAAGTTTCTAATGCTAGCATGAAGTATAACACATGGACTATTGTAAAATGAACTTAATTTATAACTGATGTCATAGATTCACATAGGTTGACTTTGAAAAAATGAAAAAAATCAAACTTTCATCAAGTATAAATTGGTGACACTCATACAAAGTTTCTAATGCTAGCATGAAGTCTAACACATGGACTATTGTAAAATGAACTTAATTTATAACTGGTCATAGATTCACATAGGTTGACTTCGAAAAAATGAAAAAATGAAAAAAATCAAACTTTCATCAAGTATAAATTGAAAAAAATCAAACTTTCATCAAGTATAAATGGGTGACATCAACCTAAGTTAATCAAGTAAGTTGTCTTATTATAGGATAGGCTAGAAATTGTATGAGCTATGATGATGTATGAGCTGTATTATTTGTATGAGCTATGATGATGTATGAGCTGTATCATATGATGTCATATACTAGTATGTGATGGTGTACGAGTTGTATTGTATGATGTCGTATATTAATATATGATGATGTATGAGTTCTGATGATGTATGAGCTGAATTGTATGATGTTGTATACTAATATATGATGATGTACGAGTATATGATGATGTATGAGTTATGATGCTGGATGATGTGCATGATATATATAGTTTGATGTATGACATACTTGATATGCTTCATGCACTTTATGGCCATATGATGAGTATGATGATTCTATGACGTTTGTGTTAATATGTTGATATTTTTCATATTAAGCATGCTATGATGAGTGTCATATTGCATCATGTCGATAGACCAACATAAAACACAACCTTGAGAGCATGAAAATGATATTAATATAAATATCCAACAAGCATGTGTTACTTAATGTAACAAAAAGATGATATTAGGGGGTTGTGTCAGAAAAGACGATAAGATAGAATTTAGTGGGACGTCATGCATATTGTATGTTTATAAGCATAGGGATACTTCCCTAAAGACGATGAGTGGAGACGCGCATAGTATGATGATGATGATGTTCATGTGGACCATGACACTATGGGGTTCTGCTGACGTTTGCACGTCGCTACAGATTAGCTTGACCAAAGAGGGTCCAGGGGGTGTGCGAGCCCCCTAAGGATTCACACTCGCATGTGTGGGTCGTGTGTAGGGAAGTACTACACATCCAATTTGTCCGAGACTGGAGGTCACCCCTAGAGAATAGAGATAGGTCCCAAGAGCATGATTGCATGTGTTTGCATCTACATGACCCCTATAGTGAGGCCAGTTACCGAATATTCTTCGAAATACTCAGGCCGTGTGCCACCTGATTTTTCAGGTAAAGGCAAGGCACACATGTATGGAGGAGGATGACATCATGAGCAGAGACTGTGACACGTGCATAGAATATGTTGTTTTGTATTTCATTGTTTTAAATTATTTTGTATTTATTTTTTAATTTATTGAATTTCAGTATTTCGTATTTAAACACGTAAGACAAGAGTTGATGAGCATGATAAGTTAGTCGCAACTCTGAGCATGTAGAAATTAAGGGTCGTTACATGTGGTCATAGAGACCTTTAAATAAAACAAATTTACACAACTTTTTCAATTACACCTCGGTTTAAAGTTTAACTGCATACAAGTAATTGTATAGGTGGGCTAAAATCTCTTAGCATATTATGTTTAATCACAGTGATTGCTTTGGAACAAATATGCAAGTTACAAGGTGCAAGTTACACTGTCAGCATCCAAGAGGCAACATATATGACATCAAATTGGCAAGAGACCATTTTGAATTGATGGCGGATTCAACTCTGGTTGTAATAGCCAAAAATAAATAAACAAATAAAAATAATTATAAAAAGGTAGTTAAAATAATAATAATAAATAAATAAAAATAACATTTCCCCACTTCTCTCCACTAACCTCTCATCCCTTCCCACAATTATGTAACGACCCTAAATTTCCACATACTCAGAGTCGCTACTAACGTCTCATGCTCATCTATAATGAGGAAATATAACTCTTACATGAACATAATTGATAACATAAACTTAAAAAAAAAACGTTTAAAACAATTTCTTCTCTGGAAAACACAGTCATGGTCTTACGTGTTTAAATATGAAATACTGAAATTTAGAGAAAACAAAAACAAATACAAAATAATTTAAAACAATG